TGTCCACAGAGTGTCAGAACAGAGAGGGACCTAAATAACAGAGCAGGAGGACAACCATGTCCCCATGAAGAAAGGACAGCACAGAGAGGCTGAGTGGCATGCCCAGGTGTCAGGGCTGGGAAGCAGCAAGTTCTGAACTTGAACGAGGCCTTGCGTTCTGAGTCCAGAGGAAGATCTGTGAGGGACAGGACTCACACTCCCACAAGAGAAAACACACCTCAGTGCCAGGATAGTGTCCACCCTGTAACCCCAAACACTCCTAACTCTAGGACTTCACTAGAGGAGCTCAACACATGATCCAAGTTCACTTTCAGCAATCTATGTGACTCTAAAATAAAAGGCAGCATTTATCTCCTCTCCTATTAAGGATTAATGATTGAAAAAAAATATCCCTTTTTCCAGTTAAAATAATGATGATTTTGCAGGCAGGCAGTGCCCAGCAGTGGGTATAAATCCTGATTCACAATGGACCACATGCCAAAAAATACAAGGACCTTTCCATTTCCTTCCTCGGGTTGTCGAGGTGAACTGGCCCAACAGGCTGCTTTGTTTCTGATCACTTCTGGATTCAGGGAAGGGAGTGGGGAGATGTTCCAGAGCCTGAGGGCAGGGGTGGCAGCTTAGTCTCCTGGCCGCAGGCCAACCTGGGCTGCATGAGGAAGGCTGGCTGAGGATGGGGGCAGAATGAGGGCCCAGCTCTTTCCTTGGAAAGGGAGATGGGGCCGAGAAACCAGTGAGGACAGGGCTAGCTATGCCACGTGGGCAACTGCCCAGTCTCTATGCACTGCACTTCTGCACACCTTTTCAGGACTGTAGCAGGGATGACACTGCAGGGGTCGCTCTCCCCCAGAAGTCCTCCTGCTCCAGGACACGTCCTCGTAGCCTGACCTCCCTTGTGAAGCCCCACCTTCTCGGCCATCCTCCTTGCCAGAGTCCTTCAGCCTCACGGCCTCATAGTCTGGGAGGTAGGACATTAGCTTGGTAAACTTCACGGAGCTCTGTTTCTTTTAAGAGTGCTTTCTGTAGCAGGCAGCAGAGACTAGACTTCCAGCAGCTTAAACACATGGGGAGATAATCTCTCCCAGAGTGCTGGCCAGCCTCAGTGCCGTGTCTCCTAGTGCCAGGCAGGCCTCTCCCTCCCGTCACAGGATGGTTTCATGGCCTCATTGAAGGCAGGAAAGCACGGAGGAGAGTGGCACCAAAGCGTTTTTATCAGGAAGGCAAAAGTTATGTCAAAGCCTGCCAAATGGACGTCCTTGTGTCTTACTGATCACAGAGGGAGACACGCAAGGCCGCCCACTAGCAAAGCAGGCACACCAGACAGAGGCAACCGAGAGTGGGAGGGGGCTGGGTCAGCCCCTGCAGATCCTGCCCAAACGTACTGGAAACAGAATTCACCCATCAGTGTGACAGAAAGAACGCTAGATTCAGATTCACAAAACCTCAGTTGAAGTCTCAAATCTCCTAAGCTTTGTAACATGAGCAAATCACTGATCATTTCTGTGATACTAAGGTGTTTTTGGTTGTAAGGAAAGGAAGATATAAAACAAGATGATGTCAGCAACAGGGACAGCTTATCTCCTGGGTGACAGGCAGTCAGTGATAAAGCAAGTCCAGAGGCATCTGCTGCCTCTAGTGGGCTAGTGGTGCCATCAGGACCAGTCACCCCCCACTTTGTGCTCCGCGACTGTCAACAGCTTGCAGAGTTGGCCCCAGATGCAGGCATCACATCACCTCTCATCTGGACACAACAGTGTCATGTCCAAGGAAGGAGCAGGACCACCATCTCTCTCCTGAGGTTTGTTCTCAGGACCAGGAAAAATAATTACCAGAAGCCCCTCCCACCCCACAGACGACCCTCCCAAAGTCTCCTTGACTCCACATGGCCCTGGCCTGCCTGCCTCTATGCAAGCCCCTGGCAGGGGCAGGGCTGCACCTGCCTCTGGCTATTGTCAAGCCTGGCTATTGTCAGCTCCATCTGTGTTAAGTGAGGACTGTCACCACCTTCCCTGGCCATCTCAGGGGTAGTTGTGGGGTTCACACAACATTAAGAGACCGAGTGACTATCCAGATGTCAATGGTTGTTGCAGTAGGAAAATGCCAGCAGGGTTTGATGGCACCCCATCGGGCATGGAGCCCCACGTCGTGAGGAGAATGCCGGGTGTCACCCCAGCCCAAGACTCCTTCCCGGGCTCCATTTACCGAGAAGCCCATGGGGTTGGGTGTGTGTGTGAACAGCTCTGCCTGTCTTGGCACGCCCATGTTATCCTGCACAGAAAGATGACCGAGAGGCAGAATGAGAACAGTGTTTAAAACTACTCCTGGCTCTGTTTTTGATGTGCACCGCACACAGAGACTCTCTCGTCTGTCTTCCTGCGTCAGCCAGTGCAAGTTGGATTAACCAGGCCAGGCTCTCAGACCAGTGATAATTTTCCACTTGGCAGAAAGCATAGAAATTAACCCTACACGCTGGCATCCCCTGTGGCGAGCTGAAGAGCCACCGGTCCTTCAAGACAGGAACATGACCTAAGGACGGCAACAGGTTTTAACACAGCCGCGTGCTGCGTGGATTGGCCACAACCTCCAGGCAACCGAGGCGAGCAAGCCGTCTTCCTCCTTATTTTCTCTGCGTTCACTGTCCCGTCTCCCCTCAGCCTTTCTGCCCTCAGATTGCACCTACCAATGAAGCCTGAGCGTGGAAACGTGCCTCAGCCTCTGCTTTCCAGAAAACTCAGACTAAGGCAGATTTTTCTGAAGACTTATTTGAATTACTCTCAGCTCTTAGTAAAAAAGGGCAGCCAAAATGTACTGGGGTCAGACTAGTCAAAAACTGTTTCGTTTCAAACTACCTTGTGAATCACCCCCAATTTATATATTATAGCAAATGACATTTCTAAACCTGGCTGCAACATTTCTGCTTAAAGTATTCTTCAAAATGCAAAATCTGGGGGAATGAGAAGTTATTGTTTCATGAGTCTGGAGTTTCAGCTGAGAAGACAAAAAGTGGAGATGGATGGTGGTGATGGCTACACAACAATGTGAATGTACCTAATGCCACAGAGCCGGACACTTAAAAATGGTTAAGACGGGAAACTTCTGTCATGTATATTTTGCCACATTTTTAAAAAAATGCCAAACTGTGAGTCAATGAGAGGGGGTCCCTCGTGGAATAAGTAGCGGTAACACCCAGCATAAGGGAGCAACTGCTATGCCAGGACCAAACGCCTTTCAATGACCAGAGCTACTAGGTTAAAAAGATCCCAAGAATAGGCCTGGCACAGTGGCTCACACCTGTAATCCCAGCGTGTGGGGAGGCCGAGGTGAGAGGGTCACTTGAGGCCAGGAGTTTAAGACCAGCCTGAGCAAGACCCCTGTCTCTAGAAAAAAAATTTAAAAATTAACCAGGTGCCATGGCACAGGTCTGTAGTCCCACTTGCTCAGGAGGCTGAGGCAAGAGGATGGCTTGAGCCCAAGAGTTCGAGGCTGCAGTGAGCCAAGATTGTGCCACTGCACTCCAGCCTGGGTGACAGAGTGAGACCCTGTCTCTAAAATAAAACATAAAAATTTTTTAAAAAGAGCTTAAGACTTTAAGCCTTTATTATTCCCTACAGCTGTATCCCTGCTTCCAAAATGTGCTCAGTCAATGTGTGTTTAATCCTATTTTAGGTATTAGCCTATAAATGCTCCACGTTAATGTCTCTCCTTGAGAAATCCCCTCCACATTCATCTGTCCTACATGTTTTGGGGGAATCAGAACTCGTGCAAGAGGGATCTCATCCTTTGAGACCCTGCTCAAAATTTGCTTCCTAGAGAACCTCTTCCGACGGTGCCTCCAGTCACTCCGTGGTGCTCCCGAGCACCCGGGTGCACGCCCGTCACAGGCAGGGTCCGCCTCTGCCGCAGCCCAGCACAGGGGACACTCTCACCCTCTCAAGAACAGGGGTGCACTCATGGTCTAGCGCAGTGTCAGCTTACAGCAGATACTCAGCAAACTGGAATGAACCAAATCCCTCCTGGATGCATTTCCAGGTGTCCTTGCAGTCTGTTTCTTCCTGTTGATGTTAAATGTAGCTCTGAATGAATGGAGTTATTGCTGCTCCTGGGCTTGGTACTGAGATGGGAGCGATTTTAACAGTTCTACACTCTCCTAAGAACCCGAGGCCTCAGTCCCTGAGTTAGATGAATTGGCTGTCTCCAGAAATTATAGAAACTTCACTGGATAACATTAATCCCCCTTCGCAATCAAGGAGATAAACTAACCAGAAAGTTATTGATTTAATAGTCAGAGATCAATCAAAGAACAAAGAAAGCTGGATTATCTAAGCATGCCTGGATGTAAGAATAAAAACTTAAAATGTATCTGGCGTGTCCATCTAACAAGATTCTTCACAATCCTCCTGTGTTCCCAGAGGGGATCAGGCTTCCTACGTGTGAGAAGGGCTGTAACTCAGCCGCCCAAAGACAACCACATGCCAAGCCCACAAGCCAGTCTGGTCACAGGAGGTCAGTCTCTCCTGACACTCTCCCTAGTTCACTTTTCAATTTCTCCAAAGTACAACCTCCACCACCAAAAAAATTCTTTAATCTTTCTTTCCACTCTCAGTAGAGTTTCTACTTCTTAGCTCACCCATTCATCCCTCAGTCACTTAAGGAAGGAGTGAGAGAAAAAGAGAAAGAAAGAGAAATGCCACTGAGGATGGCTTCTGGCTCAAAATCTGTTTCTAGACATCAGCCATGGTCCACATGGCACAGGGTGGGAGCAGGTTAGCTCGTCCTCAGGCCCTGGGCTTGGACCGTCAGAGACACTTCTGCAGAGAGTGTCTGCTTCAAAGCAGAACTGAGTGGCTCTGGAATTGCTCCAGGAAAAGCTGAAGATATGTTTCCACCCAGGAAATCACTGGGCTCTCTTTAATTTGCTTTCAGTTGGATGTGCAGTAACTGTTGCTCCGGGCTCGACCCTGTGTCCGCGTGCCCTCCAGATGCGCCCAGCACCCCCTTACCTCCCAGGCAGGCGCCGAGCGCCAGCGCATACATGAGCGGCGGCGTGGGCAGGCTGACCTCCGGGTCCTGGCTCAGGTTCAGGAGCACGGGGATCTGTGGAGGAAAAGGACATGGATGCCACATCCCGTGGGAGCTCAGAGGAGCTGCCACACTGTGACCAACTTACAAAATCCAAAGCAGTTTTTCAGCAAACTTTAAGGAACTTAAGACTCAAGAAAGGAAACCAAAGCAAACTTTGGAATCCACAAAACTTGAATTTGAACTCATCTGTATGTCTCTGATTCCAGCCACATGACCAATGGGTTCTCTTTGTCCTCAACTTCCCCCAGCTGCCACTGCGGGTTTTACATGGGGTGAAGGCACAGAGGCTAACACAGCACCTGGGAACGCAACATTACAAGCAGAGTGATCGAACCCTGCGAGGCCTATGCTGACTATGCACGCACCATCTTATTTAATCCTCGGATATCCCGCAAGCATGTCTGTTACTCCTTCGACTGACAGATGAGGAGACGGAGAACCAGAGAGGCACAGGAATGCAGATCTCGCTAGTGGCCGAGCAGAACCTGAATGCAGCTCTCTGACTCCAGACCGCACACAGGTGTACCTGTGCTAAGCCACTTCCTGCCACTGCTCACAGCCAGCCCCCCGGAACCTGCTGACAATCGTAGTATGACAACAGGTATCAGACTCTACAACTAGGGAGAATCACTAGCAAGCCATGTCAGCATCTGGTGCACCTTTCTGACAGAGATAAATTTCACATTATTGTCATCAATGAAATATGTAGTGGCTGTGAAACTGCTGTAAGAACTTTAAGTTCAGAAAACATGCCCCCTTGTGGCTTGTGTTGCTAAAGAACAGGGAAGGATGCAGCCACGGGGCAGGCTGGAAGGCTTGGCAACATGCAGGTCCATCCGTGTTGTCACTGCCCAGCATCTCAGGGCAGCCCCGGAAACGCAGCAGGAACCCCTGGACCTGCTGCTCGGGGCAGGTGCCTTGTGTCAGCCGCTCTACGGAGCAACAGCAGGAGGAGAGCACCAATGGTGACCCATCTAGGAAAGATTACGCAGAAATCACAAACAGAAAGCTGAACCCAGTGTGGAGGAGGTCCGTAAGTGACATGTGACAGCACTAAACATTGAGAACCAAGGGGCAAGAGTTCCCCTCTGCTGCATGCTAGGTCTCCTGACGGCAGGAACATGAGCCTCACTCCCTCATCTCTTTGTCCCTGTAACGGAATTTCGCACATGATGTTTTTTTAATAAGAACTCCAGGCTGATTTAGCACTTTACATGAATGTATAATTTGATTTAAAAGTAAACATTGAACTAAGCGGCTCAAAAAAATAATAAGTAAAATATACAGTATGTTAGGTGGTATTAAGTACTATGAAAAATAAAGCACAAAGGGAGACACGAGGGCCGGAGTGCCAATTTAGCACTGGTAAGGTGTGATTTTACAAAACTAATAGAAGATGAAGGAGCAGGACCACGCTCATAATGATCTGTGTGACGAGACTCTCCAGCAGAAGGAATAGGATGTGCAAACGCCCCAAGACAAGAGTTTTCTTGATGTGTCCAAGGAAATCCAAGGAGGCCAGTCAGGCTAGAGCACTGTTGGCAAAGAGAACGTTAGGAAGTGAGATCAGAGAGGGGACGGCAGCTGGATCTGAGATGTGCAGGCCATGGCCAAGGCTTGGGACCTACCGAGAAAGGTGGGAAGCCTCTGTGAGGAACATACTCGCAGGGGTGGGGCAGGAGCAGGAGTGGGACTGAAGAGAATGATTTGAGGTGACGGCAACACACGGGCAGGAAATGTCAGCAGGGATTTCAGGGGATTGGGTGGGGACATTGGGACTGGTCAGATTCCGAAGTATTAAAAGTAGCTGGCCACGGGGTATCACGGGTCTCATGACCTCTGGGGCTGAGCAACTGAGAGGATGGAATCGGCATTATGGCAGGGAGGAAGACTGGGGAGACAGGGGACCAGGATCTCAGCCTGGGGTGCATTAGGTTTGCGACACCGGCCGTGCCCAGCAGAGAGGTGGGAGAGGCAGCGGCTACCCGAGCTGAGGCCCTGGGACGAAGCCCAGCCGGGGTGGTCAGGTGTGGCTGACACACAGAGCACGAGCCGGGTGTCTAGGGAACAAAGGTCCAGAACTGGGTCCAGGATGAAGAGGGCCCCTGGGAGGAGGCCCAGGAGGACACTGAGCTGGCAGGAGGAGAATCCCAAGGAGCCAAAGGGGGAAAAACTTCCGAGGACAAGATGGGTCCCCTCCACGCATGTTCCTGGGCCAGGAAACCAGGGGACAGAGAGCGTGACTGGATCCCTCTCAAGATGGTGCACCAGCCATTAGTGATCCTGGAGAGAACTATTTCCATGGATTGCAGTAGAGTCTAGAAAGAAGTGAAGAGGGGTCAGAGTGAGAACAGGGCGGTGAGGACAGACTCGCCTCCAAAGCGTCTGGCTACTACAGGGGCAAAGGGAGAGAGGGTGGCAAGGATGTCAGCAGGAAGGACAGTGTGTTTGGATCCTGCTGAGGATGATCGGTGCAGAGTGAAAAATAAACTGTGCAGGAGAGGACTGTGGCTTCGGTGCCAGGAGAGGGGGCTGGTCTCAGCTAAGAGGAGGAAATCTCCCCCACCCACCGGAAGGCACGTAGGACGCACCAGGAGCCACGGCGGCCACTGCTTGTGGAAGCCCCCACTCGGTTGCTTTATTTCATCACAGATGGGAAGCAAGGTCACCAACCTCGAGGACGGAAGGGTGTGTGGAGGTTCAAAGGAGGAGCACGGTACACAGCACCCATACAGCAGGACCCGCTGAGTACCCGGCCGGGACAGGTCGCTGCAGCCACGCCCCAAAAGAAGTTTGAAAAAAAAAAGAAAATGTGACCTCCTCACACATTTTAATTTAATATGTAAACTCTGCTATCCTGATTTAAAATACTTCCCAAGGATGTAATTGCTAGTATACATTAACATTCTTTTTTTGAAAAAAAACATTCCATCATTCTTCCAAACACATACATTTAAATTTAAACGCCATAATACCACAATTCATCTGAAAATACATCTAAAGGTCCTGCTTAGCTGACTGAGAGGAGGAGGGCACAAGGTCCCTGCTGCCTGACCTCTGGCAGGGCTGGTCCCCACAGGTCAGGGAGGAGAGGGCCCCCAGACTGGACACCCCGCCTGGAGAGGGGCAGAGCCGCCCCAGAGCAAGGGATGTCCCAGCCACCCCCAGCAGTGTTTCCAGGGGGACAGCTGCCCACGGCTCCCAGCCAGATTCCCCTGCACAGGGCTGTGGAAGGGCCTTGGGTAAGCACTGGGGAGTTGCACCTTCCTGGGCCAGTCTGCGAGCTCAGCAAATGGGACTGAGGTGAGGCAGGATAGGCATATTTACAGCTGGGAGGGGCACAAACCCCGTGGACAGGGCCCTGCCTAAACCAGCGCTTCTCCAGTGTCAACGTGCAGACAGGTTACCCGGCATCTTGTCCAAATGCAGCCTCTGACTCGCATCTGCGCAGCAGAGACCTCTGCGTTTCTAGGAGTGCCAGGTGCTGCTGGTGCCCAGACCCCATCTGAGGGCAAGGGGTTGTTGTTTTTCAATGCGATGCGTTCCTTTTCTTCACCTGGGACTCCTGTTATTGCCATGCTGGGTCTCACCTCCAATCTCTTACCCTTTTTCATGATTCTGTTTCTTTGCCCTTTTTTGCTCTGTACTTGTACTTATCTCTCTCACTTGCTGCGAACCTAGTAACTCAGGCCTAACACTGACTTTTCTCTTCTTTAATTCATTATTCAATATTTTTAGTTGAAAATAATTATGGGTTTTAGTTCCAGAAACTACTTTTTGTGCTGTGCTTAAACCTCCCTGAGTGTTCTTATAGTTTGTCATTTGTCATCCTTTGCCACTTGGGTTTTGTGGGGTGCCATGGAGCTAGGATCTGGTGGTAGAGTGGCCAGTCTGTGGGCCAGGGAAGGTGAAAGACCCTCACTCCTGGGCACTGCAGTGCCCCTCCAAGGCTGCTCTCCCCACAGGGGGTCCCTCACTGTGCACCCACCCCTGAGGCAGACTTGCAACTGAACAGCTCATTGGAACCAGGCTCAGCACCAAGCAAATGGGGGAAAACAGCAACTTGGTGCTACTCACGTTTCTATTTCTCTAACTCTAGTACTCCCTTAGCTTGCACAAACCAGAATTGGGATTAGGCCCAGATCCACCTTCTGCAGAACCTGAGTTGTTAATTCCTCCAAATGCTCTTGTTATTAAACTGAATTGCAATCCACTGGATCTGGTTCGATCCTCCACATTATTTTGCTCCCGAACATTTGAGGAAAGGATGAGTGAAAACAAAAATGAGATTAAGTAAAAACCAAAAAGCTAAAGCTCATGTGAAATGCTTTTGACTTTCACCCCCTCTGAAAGAGTGCTTTCCTGTGCCAGGTGCTGCAGCCAAGCACGTCTGTGGGGGGGGGGGGCAGATTGCAAGGAAACCTGGGGGAGAAGATGGGAGAGAATGAGGCAGCCTTGAAAAAAAATGACTTCCACACAGAGGCTGAAGGACAATACAGATAACGATGAGTATCCAAGATCCAAGACGTCAGTTAAAGGAAACCCACAAAATTATGTGCATAAATTACCATTCTTTGAATTCAACATCCAGGACAAGAATAACATCATTTTAACTTGAAAATTGCCTGAGAATTCTTCCTGTTCAAGCAAATGAGGTTGAAAAGATAAGGTTTAAATGGAGAAAGACTGTCAGGGAATTCTCAGTCATTACATGTTTTTTGAGATTTCCAACACGGTCTTTACGGCAATGAAGCAGAGGCCTGAGGAGGCTGCCCAGGGAGAGGAGGGGCTCGGGCTCCCCAGCTGCTGTGCACCTGAGCGAGTAGAGAGGAAGGAAGAAGAGGCGGGCGTATGTGAAAGGGATTTCCCTACATGGAAATATTTGTTAAAATATTGAAATATCTCCACACAGGTAGATGGAGAGCCACGGCCCTAGCCCCAGTGCCTCCCACTGCCTCAGCCCCCGGCCCTCCCTCTGCCCCCAGCAAGTAAGGGACCAACACTGGCCCGGG